CCCGAGACCCCGGGGGCAGGGAGACCCCGCGGCCCCGGGGGCAGGGAGACCCCGCGGCCCCGGGGGCAGGGAGACCCCGAGACCCCGCGGCCCCGGGGGCAGGGAGACCCCGGCCGCCCCAGCGGGGAGGGCAGCGCCTGGTGCGGGGCACAGCAGGGCCGGGTTCGGGGGGCAGGGGAGCCGAGGTCAGGGGGCAGCCGCTCCAGCCCCTGCGGCCCTGCACCCAGGAGCAGCTCCGGGCACGGCCAGGCCCCTGCGGCAGCTGCCACCAGCTCGCTGGGACTGCGACCAGGAGCAGCCTCCATCCCCACTGAACCCACGGGGACAGGGGGTGCTGGGGAGTCCCTCTGCCCCCCAGGAGGGGGGGGGGTCACGGTCACCCCTCACAGTGCGGTGCTGAGGCAGGAGGGGCAGCCCCCAGATCAGCCCCCCAGGAGGGCCCCGCAGCTCTGCTCGCCCAGCCCAGGCCGCTTCAAGGGAGGGCAGCGGGGTAGCAGGAGCCCGGCCTGCCCTTGGAGCAGGGAGGCTGCCTCGCGCCTCTGCCTAAGGGCCAGCAGGCAGCTGGGCTCTGCAAAGCTCCAAGCTGCTYGCCCTCTACAAGCTCTGCCCCTTCAGCTTCAGTTCTCTCCCAGAGCCCTTGCCCAGATTGCTCAACTGCTTATTAAGTTGAGCAGCTGCCCATCAACAAGTTGCCCGGCTGCCGCAACAAGTTTCCTTTTTCATAGGTGGGAAACCGAAAATGAAAGAGGAAGCATGACTTCCTCTCGCGGAGCTCATGGCAAGGGGGCAGGAGCCAGGTTTCCCTTTCTCGTACCTCGACACCCAGGCGCCCTAGCCCCACGGCTGCTTGTGGGCAGCTGGGTGCCAATCTTACCCAGAGTCTAGGCCTTCTGAGCAGACGGACCAGTGTTGAGTCAAATCTGATTAACATTAGCATTATTTCAGATTGAAGGTATCCTTGATACATAGTTCTGTTCTGTTTCAGTTGCAGAAGCTCTTACTGTAATTTGGAACAAGATCAGCAAAGCCAAACTACTGTGAGGACCAACCTGTGGAACAGCAGTGAGTCAGGCCTATAAAAACRAAAGAGAAATTCAAGTGTAGGGAAATATATGCTGAGATAAATTTAAGCAGTAGTGCTGTGAACACCAACGGTTGTTGAGAGCATGATGGTCTGTTATGGCATTTGTTACAAGCAGTTTGTGAGGCTTGATGCACTAAAATGAGATTACAGCACTCGCCACCTTTCAGCTGGTCCTTCATCTCCTTAGAGCTTGCATTAAAAGGCATGTTCCTCTGTACCTTCTTCTATAACAGCATATGAAACCTCCTTTATTCCAGCATCCTACCACCAATGTAGAAAGGAATGCCTGTTTTTTTTCTCTCAATCCATTCCTGATTGCAGTTGTGTAGTGAAAACTGATTAAAATGCAGTTCTGCCTGTATCTACATTCTTTCCATTCCAGTCTCCTTTCCTGCAGTTTCCTCCACAAGCTTTTGCTTTGCACCAGAACTGTCTGCATTAAGACGATGCACTCTACGAAGGAACTGTTTGTAAACACAGCTTAAACACACAGCATCCCCCAAGCAACCAGGCAGCTGGAAAAACTGAGCTTTGCCATTAACTGACAGGATTGTCCCCAGGATCAGAGGGCAGCAATGYTGCCGTGAAAGCACTTTTCAGTTGAGCAATAGCTTCAAGGAGTTAATCATCTCAAGTGAGCAGTTTGGAGACAACTTAGAAAAACAGGAGTGTAAAGAGGAGTCAAGGTTTAGAAATACAAACCAGAGAGATGGGCTGGGTTTAAAAGGGCAATGGACAAGCAGTATAAGGATTTACATACATGGATGAAAATGTCTAAGCATAGCGCAAGGAGGCCATGACTGTGGAAGCAGCGGAAAGGGAGGAACAGCAGTGAAAATGTTCCAAGAAATGCTGGGARTATGCATAAACAACAGCAGAATCCAGTAAAAGAACCAAAACTCATTAATGGGACTTTCCTACCCTGCGCATCACACTGCCATTGCACAACAGTTAGTCTTTTCTCTCACACAGTTCAAACTTCAAGTTTTGAACACCCTTCCCTTTATCGGGCCTGTAGGCGCCGTCTGGGACCCTGGAGAGGGGGATGGCACCGGTGCCTCGTGCTGCTCTAGGTGCCTAACCCTGGCGGCAGCCACGGGCCCCCCCAGTGCTGCCACGGGGGAGAGGGGCTCGCGGGACCCCCGGTGCCCGCGGCTCCTCAGCCGCAGCTCCCAGCACTTCAGCCCGGGGGTGGCTCGTGGCGCTCAGCRCTGCAGTCCTGGACGTTGCTCTGTGGATCCCTCTATGACCAGGCACCAGGATCCCCCCGGCGAGGAGCTCGAGGCACCTGTAGCTTCCTCTCTAGCGGGGTGCTTCCCTGCAGTCAGCACTGATGGCGACTGGCACCCATGCCCCTCTCCACGGTGTGGAGAGGCACCAGTGCCTATTGCCTGCCATACCTATTGACAGCAATCCCCAATAGGTATCCATACCTCATCTTGATTGGCATCTGTAGCCTTACCTGTCTGCTTTTGCTCTCAGCAGCACCAAGGATTACCAGCGCTGACCATCCTCAACAGGGGAGGCTTCAACGTGTGTTATTCCCAGATATATCACT